GGGGGGGGGGGGGGGGGGGGGGGGGGGAGGAGGGAGGAGGAGGCCGCATGCAGGGATGAAATCGGGTTGCGAGGACTGCCCGCTGAGGCAGTTCATCATGTCTTTCCTTTTGGTGGGGCTGAGGCGTTTTCTTTTGCTGGGACTCAGGTCAGAAGTTGGCTTCGGTGTGGCGAAACGGGAATTTTTACGAGCAATTTTGGGGTGTCGTTATCGTTCGATGGGCGTTCGGGCGTTTCGATGGCTTCCGAATCGTTAGTCCGAAAGCCTTTAAATACGGGAAGGGGGCGCAATTGAGGGGACGCAATGGAAGGCGCAATTGAGGGGGCGCAATGGAAGGGGCGCAATTAATGAAATTTCATGTTGTCTTGGAAGGCTGCCAGGAAGATGCATGCCTCTCTATGATTGCCATCATGCTTTGGGCATTGCCCCTACATTAGTAGTCATATGTTTGTATTGAGGAACCCAATCAGGGCTGTCAGATGTAAGTAGCGGGCTGATAAACGATTTCAGATGAGACGAAAGCGCTACTTCCCTGCACTTTTTTAAATACGCACTTATTTCAGGTTTGCGCGTGCAAAAATAAACTTTCTGCGTGACTTTTGGGGACAGCCCATTAACGTAACTCATCTCGTATTATTAAGACCCTTCCTCAATGCCCAATCAGCACAGCTGAATATGACTTGACACCCGGAAGAACTCATCAGCGGGATTCAAAATTCAAATCAGCTGAACATCATCAGCTGTTTTTTTTTTTTTGCCGGCATGAGGTCACGCACGTCCCTCTGACCGATTGGCCCGAATTAAGACAGCTGAAAGTCATTGCAAACGTCGACCAGGATCTGATTTGAGCCCATAGCAAATTTTCACCTTGAATCGATCAAAATTCTCCAAGTTTTGTTTCATGCCTCAAGTTCATTCGTTTTATTTTATTTTTCTCTTAATCGGCCAACAGCCCCATTAAGAAGAATTTTCGGGAGACTTACTGCTGAATAGACGGTCGGAGTCCCAGACGAGGATGGGGGCGGAGTCCTCCCTCCTCCAGATGACCTTCGGCTTGGGATGACCTTCGGCCTTGCAGGCCAAGGTCACGTCGCTCCCCTCGCTCACCGTCGTGTCCGAGCTCGTCTCCTCCGTCACGATGTCCGGCGGAACTGGAACGGCCAGTCGCAATCCGTTGAGTAAGAATCGCGTGGGAAAGATACTGAAACTCTCGGATTCGCTTTTTCCAACCTGGGCGAGAGGGAAAGGGAGTCTCATGCATGCATTTTGTGACGACGCTTTTTCTGATCGAGTATGGCGTCCCATGCCATTCATCCCTTCGTGAGGTTTCGTTGCACTCTTAAAAGTAAACTCCGGATTCAGTCTCGTTTTACTCCGACGAGAGAGAAAAGAGAGAATTGCTCTCATCTTTACTTCTTTTTGCTCTTCTAGTGCACAAAAGGAAGGCGAAATGAGCTAAAAGGAGAGTGAAAGTCAGTGCTCTTTTTTTGTTCTAAAAGTGCAAATGAAAAAAGGAGGTGAGGGAAGTGGAAAAAAGGACGTGAGGGCAGAGGGAAAGAGGACGCGGACTCAGTGGGTGGAAAGGTCATCGCCAGGCAGCAGACTTTCCATCTCTGCCTCCTCATTAATCATGAGCCTCCCCCTTTGACCTGAGTGCCTCCTGACACTTCCATTGTCTCCCTTGCTTATCGCTCCGCTAACCCCATGTGTTAATGGATAAATTATGCAGGGCCGTTTTCGAATCGAGGCGGATCGTGGGGATTCCTGTCTCGAGGCGGCTGTGCCGCGTTTCCGCGCCGCTCTCCGTCTGCCGCTCTCCATCAGATTAGGTTTAGGATGTTTGAAAAGAGAGAGAGAGAGAAAGGCGAAAGACGAAAGATGAAAGGGTCACTCGGAAAGTTCGTGGACGCAGAAAATATATTCATAGGAGAAAGCAAACAATAATCGCATCACGCGAAATGCATGCATTCTTTCCGTCCTTAAAACCTTTCTTAAAACCTTTCTTGAAACCTTTCTTGAAAGCAGTCTTGGAGGCAGTCTTGGAATCTCTTTTAAAAAATCAGGATTGTGTGACGTGGAAAGACAGCAGTGCCGATAGTCTTCGGTATTTATGCCACTACCTGGCACGATAGACTTCCGTGAAGCACGAAAATTCTTTTTTTTTTTAAGTGACCTTAATTTTCAAGTTCATCAGCGGAATTCGGAAATCCGCTTCGAAATGATTTTTTCTCATTTTCCTCGTTCGAGCCGCATTTCGGGGGACGAAAGCAAGCTTGAAATTTCTCTTTGGTGAGTTTCAAACTCGCCGATGACGTCATCTCGGGTCTTCCAGGTGAATTTCTGGGCGACCCAAGTCATTATTTCCAATTTTTTTTTTCGCCCGTTCATATCAAAATAATATCAAATATAATATTAATATTCCCGCAGGAAAATTTTTCGACTTCAAAAGCCCGCCAAAAAAAATCTCGTTAAATTTTCCCCGCGAATCGAGGAAAGACACACATACTTTCATACCTTTCGGCATCATGAAAGGCACGAATAAAACATGAGGATCCTTCCTCCCGGGATGAATCACGGATGCAATTCTTGCAGCGGGCTAATCGCTTCCTGACAGATTCCAATGATCCCTATTGCGACTTTGTCCCGAGGAAGCCGGGAACGGAACGGTCGAAACGGAACGTTCGGGTCGTTTCTTCCGCGATGATTTGGTGGACGTTGATGTTATTAATGTGCGTTGATGTTATTAATGGGCGCTGATGTTATTAATATGCATGAATGTTATTAATATGATGAAATTCCGAGGGAGAGACTGCGTCCCGATAGCCGTCGCTTTGGGAAAATGATAGTTCGATTTCAATATGAATGGCATGCATGAGGGCCTTCTCATCCCCTCGCCCCTTCATCCCTTCGCCTCCTCTCTCGATTGTGTGCCTAGGCAGAAAAGTGGAGGAATGCATGAGGCTGGGGTGTGGAAGGAAGAGCTCTTGCTCTCCGTGCGGCTTCGATGTTCAGCGATTTCCAGCGCCATTTTTATGCTGAGTCTTGCTTTGTGTATTGGAGGAAGGGGAGGAGGAAGGGGAGGAGGTGGGGAGAAGGGGAGGAGGTGGGGGGGGGAAGGGGGTGGGGTGGGGGGGGAAGGGGGTGGGGGGGGTTCTCTCGCGTGATTCCTGCTCTCATTTGTATCGAAGGGGATTAGATGTCGGATGTCTCAATTTTTTTTTTTTACTTCTTGGGTGCAGTGCAATTTTTCCGATGTCGTGATTATGGAACACTGAGTTTGGATTCTCGCATCCTGCGGATGACACCTCATGCATCTCATCTGTGGAGGGAAATGGGTGGAGAGGCGTGCGTTCCGATCCCGAGAATATTTCCGTTCTTCCTGCGTTTCTACCCCATTTTCGAACGTCTCTTTTCTTTCGTATTTTTGATGCGCTTACGCGAAAAGCGCCGCCCGCACGGAGAAACGCTCAGAAGACGGAGGAAAAAAAGCTTGGAATTCCCCCAAGTCAAAGATCGAAAAGAATTAAAGAGACGTCGAAACGCCGCACGCTCGATCGACCGCATGAAAAATGATTGCGGTCACGCTATGACCGCATGAATATTAGTCTACTGGACCAAATTTATTTATGTCTTCACATCCTGATTTTTCTTTTTTACAACTCGGTTTTATCAAATGCGTTTCAGTTTTGCATTTCAACGATTTTCGTCCGAGTCGATATTTCCACACGGGAGGAACTTAAAGCCGCGAAGGAAATTCCCAGACGGAAAAAAAAAATGATTTCGTCTCTACCCCCCACCTTCCACCCTCCATCGCCACCCCCCACCGCCATTATTGCACCTGCCGTTTCCTCGATTCGCCCTGAATCCTTTTTTCTCTCGTGATTTCTGCGCTCCATGTGTTCCTTGTGGGTTTCTCTTGCTTCTCTTCAGACAGGAATTTAGAACAAACTAAAGTTGGATACCAAGATACTCGTCGATTCTTGAAATCATAATTGTAATCAAATATTATAAATTGTTGTAATGTATAGTAATCATTTTTATAGTGAAGAGGTTTCGCATTTTTTCTCGATTTGTGCTTTCCAACGATGGAGTCCCCCACC